GGGCGGAGGGGAGGGGGGGGGGAGCCCGCCGGGGCCTGCGGGTCAGGCCGGAGCGACAGCGGCTCCGCCGCCTTCCGTGCAAAGTTCACCTTCGTTTGGTTTGTCGCGGGGGGCGGCTCCGCCGGCCGAGTTAAACGTTTTGGAGCTCCCTTGGGCAGGTCGATACAACCGACGTGGGCAGGCCAGAGCGTGTCCCCGTGTTACTGCAGCCTCGGGTCCCCTGGCCCTGAGGGGCCGGGTTGCTGGTGGCTGAGGGAGACCTGGAGGCTGCAGGGCAGCCGCCCCGCAGGTGCCCCCACCGTGCGGTTCTGTACCTGGTCACTCGCTTGCCAGCACGGAGCTCCCCCAGCGTGGCGCCTTGTCAAAGGGGAGCAAAAGCTAAAGGAACCTTTTTTGATCTCGGTGGATGAAACTTAAGGCGACTTTGATATTTGCCAGAGTAGTCAGAACACCCCCCCCCCCTTTAAAATAACTTTTTTTTTTTTGTTGTTGCTGCATGGGTATTTCTCCAGCATGTGATGTGATAGGGGAGGCAATAAAAGGTAAAAGACTCCGTTCTGTTAATTGTGTTTATTGGACTGGATCACAGAATGTAGTTTTGGAAGTGATTGGACCTCACCTTAAACTCATTTGTGATGTGCTCAAGGAAGGAACAGTAGCGTGGAAGAGACCACTAAAACTGGTCGGACACCACATTGCGTCTTAAGCGTTTTATTATGAAGTCTTTTAGGATTGTATCCCTTCTCTTTTTTTAATCTTAATGGTGTAATGTCTGCTAAAAATTGGCATACCTTCTCAAAACAACAATCCGTGTTTCCTGCGTGTGAAATTGTCGGTTCCACAGACCGTGCCTTTCATTTTCCAAAGCTGATCATCTCGGTTACCACTTTAGTGTGATTTGAGAAATTGTCAATACTCCTTTTTTCCTCTTTGTTAGCCCAAGTAATGTCAATCGCTCTTACAGGCTTTTACAATGATCAATTCACTGACTGATTTTTCTTGTGGCCTTCAGTATGAAGGTTCTCTGTCTAAATTAAGGAAAGGAGGCACTACAGAAAGTACAGCTAAGTGTTGCGAAAGACTGGAGTTGGGGAGGTAAGCATAAGGAGGTAGCAAATTAACTTCTATATACTAACAGTGATCATCAAATAATTTGTAGAACTGTAATTAGTTAGTCTGAGGATTTTTTTTTTTTTAGCAGTAACTTCTTGTTAATGATGTAAAAACGCAAAGCACATGTATTTATTGGTGGATTCTAATGAGTCATACTACAAATAAAATGGAAATACCACCAATGGTGAGGGGTAAGATACGATATGGTTTGTAACAAAGTGGAATAAGGCTTGGGAAAGGGAGGCTTATGTAGAATTAAGTTCTGTATAAAGAACACACATTTTCTTGTTACAAATAGGAGTATGACAAAATAAAGTGGAAGGGAAGTATTTATCAAAGTCTTAGTGAAGATCATGTCAGTGAAGATGGCAGTTATTCTCGGTCCCACCCACAGGCTTTGGACAGGGTTATTGTCCATCTCTGTGCAACTAATGGATCTTCTTTAAGACTGAGCAAAAATGGTCCTCAGCTTCCATAAAATTGCACTATTTTCTGGTTTTAGCCATCACAGGGCTTGGTAGTAGCACTTGGGAATTGTGCAGATTTTGTGCATGCACTTTTGGGTCAATTAAGTTAAATTGTTTGCGTTATTTGAAAGTGATTGTTTGCAAACCTGTTTCTAAGTTAAATAGAAAGCTTTTAAATATACCAAATTGAGCAAAAGATGTATTAAATCTCACTGTGATTTGTTCTTGTGTTTTGTTTTGTTTTGTTTTTTCTTGTCAGTTCACAAAGCCTAGTGAGAATAGCGTTGATTATCCTGACCTGGCTAAGGAAGCAGGTAATTTAATAGTAAAGAAGGCATTTAGTTTAATTGCTGACACTTACTTTAAGTCTTACAGTTAATCTTTTTATTATACATATGAAGGAACAGCTACTGTTCAGTGAATAGATACATATAAGAAGCAAATATAAAACTGATAAAAAAAGAACATTTTCACAAAATCAATAACTTACCCGATCAACTCACTGCCTTCCAGCACTGAAGTCAGAAGGATAGCTTAAAATTTAATTGGATGCTTAAATAATTTCATACCTACATATATTACTCAAACATACTTTCATTGGGACAAACAGCCTTTGTGCATGAACACAGAATTGATTGCATGAAATATTCTGATAAAAGAGTTTGTTCAGAACTCAAAATACTGCAAAATTGTCATTATGAAAATTAAGGTGCAAGACTATATTAACCATTCTCATCATATAATAAGGAATTTTTACAGCTCACTCTTTTTCTTGTTTGTGAATGCATGAATCATACATACTACTCTAGGTTTGCTTGTTATGGTTGAGGTGCTTTTTTTTTTTTTTTTTCCTTCAACTTTTAAACTTTTTTTCAACTTCTAAACTTTTTTTAGGCCAGAAGGCTTTATCTGATGCTGGGATTCCTTATTCAGCGGTGGAGCAGGCATGTGTGGGTTATGTTTATGGTAAGTAATGTCATTTGACTGGGATGTGACATCCATGACATTTGCAGACATTGTGTGGATAAAGTATGGGGGATCCTATCAATTTCAGGTTATAATATTTAATCATGTCAGTTTGTAGAACTGTCTCAAACTTTTAAAAAA